CTGTTGTGCTCGGTTTGGTCGAGGGAGGGAACCTACTTGGATGGATGATGTTCACTGTACCGGTTCGGAACGATCTCTATCGGAGTGCCGTTTTCGAGGATGGGGAATTGAGGATTGCAGTCATAGTGAAGATGCAGGTGTTGTGTGTGGCAGTAAGTAGACTGGCAATTCTATTATATTTGTCGCTCTCCGTTGACAACAGATTAAGCTCAGTGCTTCATGCGTGACCTCACACACTTGTTTTAACTTGGTTGAATTGAAATAATAAAGTACCCTTTGATCGAGGACTCTTTACACGGGGAGACGCTTCCCTTACAACATGGACAGCACCCTCTTCCCCAAGTAAATTTTAGACATGCCGCATTAGAGAATATGTGTTCCCACAGAAACTTACCTTTGTTCTTCTGTGCAATATGGATGTTCATATGTACATAGGTAATTTAACGTAATATATTTGTGGTTGTCAGTTTCAGGACCAGTGACGCCAACACCGACGTCAACGCCTATAGTTTCTTCATCAGGTAAGCTTTGACCTGGTAAAATACAGTTATTGTGGTCAGTGTGTTTTTGTGAAACTGGTTGGTATAGCATTTTCTATTTGTCAAACGTGTGCCAGACACTCAATAACCATAGTCCGCTGTTTTGTCTATATCTATTCCGTACAATTATAACATTGAATGTGATCGCTTATATATATATTTATTTATTTTGAACATATCTATTTAGTTGTATGCCCTTTTATATCATGCTTAAATGGAGGATCGCCACACTGCCGTAATGGACAAGCTTTCTGCTATTGTTTCTTTGGCTATTATGGACCACGATGCCAGTATTACAGTAAGTGTTTGATATTCTTGTCTTTTAATAAAAGTGTCCTCTAAGAGAAACCAGCCAACCAGACAGCTGCTTATCTGATTATTCTTTCCCCCAGGGTATACTACCACCGCCAGACCATACACTACCTGGCCATGGAGACCAACCAGTACCTGGAGACCATACACTACCTGGCCATGGAGACCAACCACTCCCTGGAGACCATACACTACCTGGCCATGGAGACCAACCACTCCCTGGAGACCA